CAGCGGTCCCGTCCGCTTGGGGGTGGGGGTGCCCCACCGGTGCCCCTGGGCCCTGGCGGGACCTGCCCCAGGGGAAGGCCCCTGTCGAGAGAGAGCGGGTGTGCCCGAGGGGTGCGGGATGGTCGGGCGGAGGTGGGGCAGGGCGGGAGGAACAGGCACGGGAGCGAACAAAGGTGGCGGAGCGCGGGCAGGCGGGCTGAGCTGCGCCTCCTGCACGGCCCTCGCCGGCTCTGGCAGCGTCAGGCTCCCCACGGGTGTCCCCGCTGCTGCGAGACCCCTGCGGTGTTACACGCGTTACACCTTGTTACCTCAGTTGCCCGTCACAAGAAGAAGCAGGGTAGGAGTTTAACTAGCAATACTTATTTACCTAGGTATGCACTTTGGGGCACTTCTTCACGCGAATTGTTATTTATTGTCAGTGAAGGCTGATGAATGGACAGTGTGGCGAGATCTATGTGGCCTAATAGCTACACTCGGTGCAGTGAGGAGGCAGCTGACCAGCAAGTAAATGCTATACAGAGTAGTCATGCATGGAGAGGTAGTACAACACTGTGGAAAGAAGAATGAGAAGACAAATTGCTTATCGGAAGTAGTGTTGAATGGGGATATACCTATTATATTTTGGCATAAGGGGGAGAGTTTCACCATAGCTGGAAGGGCAGTTGGTCAGAATGAATTGGTAAAGTGCTGGTGACTTCAGGCTTTGGGTAGAATTAATAATTTTTAAACGGGGGCTACCTGATGATTTACCTATATTGAGAAATAATTTCTGTTACGTGTGAAGACAGCCTCCAGAAGACAGGGTGGTCGATCACCTGGAGCACGTGATAGATGCCTCAAGAACTTTAGTCTCTGTTCCACTGTGACTCTAAACCACACAGTGAGTTCTGGTCCTAGCAGGAAGGAACAGGCAATCAGTGAAGTAATCTGAAATTCTTAGGTTTTGCATGTTTTGATGCTCATGACAGCAACAAAGGCAAGATTTTAAATAGAATTTTCATAAGGCTCTAGAATTTTTCAAACTGTAAATTTATAAAGTTGCAAATGTGTAAAATGGCTGGGTTTAGTGTCAGAACACATTACAGGAAGAAACACAGCAAGTAAGGCCTGAGTTTAAAGTATGCTGTAAGAGTTTATTAATTTTTAATTAATATTAGCTTCTAGTTTCAAGTCGGACGTAGCTGTTGGTATAATCTAGGTAGTTAACAGCGAGAAATGCTAACCTGTGGTAAAAATATTCTGGTTTGGCCTGTAATGTAAGGATCCAGTATTCCCTCTGTGCATGAATGTACAAAGATAATTAAGAGATTTCCCATTTACCATCTTTTATTTAAGACGCATATATTAAATTGCATTAATCTTTCTTCAGAGTTAATACAATCTATTGTTTTTCTCATTTATATGTTCTTTGTGATTTGTCAATCTTGCTGTTTCTTTTATAGTTGAATGAAAGAAAACTCCCCACAATACTCCCAAGTGTGAGATTAGCAATGCTGGTGTAAAGAGGAATTATTACTATTACCTCTCTGTCTTTAAAAATCAAACCTGGTGTATACTACATGACTTGTATATACAACATTTGCTTCTCTTGAAGTAGTACAAACTCTTGTCTAACACATGCGTTGCCAGGGATGAAATATGCCATCATTAATTTTTTTCTATGTCTCTGTTACTTGTTTTTACACACATACTTCGCTTTGCAGCCCTTTCAAATCCCCTGTATTTTTCTTTATATTTCTTACCTTTTCTCACTAGTCTGGTTGGTGAATAACTATGTAACTACATCCTGTTTCTGCTCTCTTGGGATGAAATTGTGAATAGTGGGGACCCGTGTTTGCAAAAACAACCAAAATTAATCGGTACAATAATCATTAACAGGATGGGTTACTTGGAAGCTGGGAGATAGATTTGTGTATATGAAATCCTTGTAAAAAGAGGCAAAAGGCTGAAGAGATCTAATGCTTTAGTTTAATTAGCACCCGTTCCCATGTAATCTGTACAGAAGCTGTAAGACATTTTCCTTTATCAAGTTTTGTTGTATTTGAAAGAAGGAAATAGTGAATTACAGTCTTAGAAGGCTTTCTGTGTGTATAGCACCAAGGGAAGAAGGGTTAATCATAACAAAAAAAGGGGATTTGCCCATATAGTTGAAATGTTGTCAATTAAATAATGATGTGAATAGGAGAGGTTGTAAATAATGTGATGGGCTTTAATGTATTTTGAAAGAAGGTAGCATCTCTCTCCCTTAGGGAAGTTTTATTCCAGGTCTAGTACAGTCTGGTTCTCTGGAGTCCTGTCTGTCTTGTAAAACCAGAGGTGACATTTCCATGGCCCTTTGCACTGGTCTGACCTGGGGCTCTTGCAGTCTTAACTGCCCCCTTGAGCCAGAACTGACTTCATGTTGACTGGCAACGAGTTGGTTCGGGGAGATGAACAGACTGAAAACTACACTTGCTTGTGAGAGTGATTGGTATCTGGCTGGCTGAGCCCCAGGACTCATCTGGCTCCCCATGCAGTGCTGGCTGGAGCAGTGGCTGTGAAGCAGAGGGAGGTGAGTCTGTGCAGGGCATGAGATGGGAGGGCAGAGCTCAGGCAGCCCCAAGAGGGACTGAGGGTGGGATCCAGTCCGGAAGTGCAAACTGGACATGTAGGCATAGGACAGCACCTCACAATGTCACTGTACGTTCATAGCGCATAGCTTTTTGTTTCTAATCGAACGGTTAACACCCTCTGTGCTAGTCTTTGGTGGCTGCTGGAGGTCCTGGTATTCAACAGCACCATTTCAGTCCATTTAATGGTGTCTTGGCAGAAAAAAAAAAGAAGAAAGAAACCAAAGAAAAGAAGGCTGCTGCTTGGGAGGAGGATAATAAGATACGTTTAAAAGAAACCTTTATTAAGCTCCACTTTGGCATAATTATGCCTGTACAAAATAAAATGTATAATATACCACAGGCCAAAGAGGCTGCCAGAGATTGGGGGATAGAGTTGCATGGGCCCAAATGGGTCTCTTAAAAATAATCAAGCAGTTTGGGGGAGGGTTTTTTTTTCCATATAAAATTTTCATGTATATGAACCGCTCCAGAGCTGTCTGTCTTTGTGCTTTGCATAGGCCTGAGTCTGCATTTTTATCTTTTTTTTTAAAGTTAAATCCCTTTAATTGGAAATCAACTTGACCTGTGGTAGTCCTGAAAAAATCTCTCTGTATCATCTGGCCCTACTGATCTGTATTTAATGTAATTCTTTCACTGGCTTATTATCCATTAACCTTCTGAGCAATTTTTCTTTCTTCTTTCAACTCCTCACAATTCTTAATGCTTCTTTTAAAATGCCAAAATAGTTTCTATTTGTATTGTAATCCTAATGCTTATTTATCCTTCTTTTATAATAGTTTTCTGTTTCCTCTTGCTTTTTATAAATTACTAAATCCTATATTGCTTTTAACTCTTGAGAAGCAATTTACCTCCACTTGTATTGTTTAGATTAACGCATTTTCATGAAAGCTATACGCTCTTCCCTGTTTCTTCATACCTACTTTAGAGCCTGTTGACCAATGTCAGCCAAAATTGACAAAGTGGCATCAGTGTCAAGGTTATCAAATTTTTACAGGTTTTATGAAAATCAAGTTGGTAGAAGGGCAATGACCCAAATGAATGTTTCTGCTGATGGAAAATCTGCAGCATGATTTCAAGTTATCTGCTCTGTTAGGCCTGACTTAAACCACCCAGCTAGTTGATGTACAGCTCTGAACCAGCCAGTGGTTACGCTGCTCTTTGACAAGCTGATAGGGAGCACCAGCTGGGTTTTACAACAGCGCTGTAAGACCTCCAGGCTGTGGCCAGAGGATGCCTGGAGTTTGCAGTGCAGTTGTTAAGTTGTATAGGATGTGCATGTGAGATAAGCAATTCACTCCTGATCTTGAAGCACCCCAGCTGAATGATTCTTAAAATCGGGCTCTGTAAAGCCATAATTTCCATGGAGCAGCCTTCAAACCATGTTAATCAGTGAAATTTTGAGTCAGAAGCTGATGTATATGCTGGTCTACACATGATTCCAGGGCCTGACAGCAGTAAGTTTGTTGAAGTTTAATGTCTGTTGGCATATTCTGTAAATAGATTTTTCTTTTTCAGAGGGAAAAAATCCAGAAGGAGAATCTATTTGTAATCTTCACTCTATATCTTACAGCAGCTCCACATGGAAAAGATAAAATAACAATTTTCAGTTTGGAGTCAGGGTTGGTTGGTTTTTTTTGGGTGTTTTTTTTAAGGTGGAGAGATTGGGGGTTGTTCTGCCTTTTTCCAGTGCCTTTTCTAAAAGGTGGTTCAACAGGATGTTTGGGGGAAATGTGACATTATTGGGTTTTGGCATTCCAGGGGAGCTTAAAGTGGATCCAGCATATTGTCTTATGCATTCCCTTCTGCACCAAATGTCAGGAGTAATTCATGTTGTTGACATCTATGTCAACATGTGAAACTGAATGAAGGACAGGAACTAAACAAAAAGCTAATAATAGAAGAGGCAAGAAAGTGAGAAGTGAACGCTTCGTTAGTAAACTTTCTTACTGTCACGAGTAAGAGGGTCAAATAGTGCAGCCTGTCCTTATCTGTTACCACAAGCACCTTCTTGTTGGCAGCGTTCAAGCGAAAGAGCTGTTTGTACATCTGTGTGCATTTTGTGAGCATGGGAAACAAGCAGTTTACCCAAGAAACACGCATGGTGGATTTATATAGAGGCATACAAAAGTCACTTTGGTTCATCTTCATTTGTTTAATTATTTACCCTACTTTATGGTTATGTTTCCAAAAACTCTGTAAAGAATGGCCTCACTTATACCCACCGCAAACATTAAATGTGTGGTTTGTCAGCCAGGCAATGTGAGGTGTCGTGTTTGATGTGTCTTCTGTAGTAGAAGAGTCACCTCTCTTGGTTCAGTGATTACCACAGTATGCAACTCCAGTATAGGCTGTTGAAGAAACTGCTTAGTCAACCTTGTTTTGGCCCTTTAACAGGTTAAGGACGTTGCTCCTTATTGTTTCCTAGTAAAGCTCATGAACAAACTAATCGGAAGGCCAGTTTGTGAGAAAGTTTGTGGTACTGCAGGCTGTGAATTCAGGAGTGCTGTGTTATTGCTCAAGTGTGTTGTGTACTGCTAGCAGAAATCAGAATATGTTTCATGTTTCCTTGTGTGTTGGTAAATCTAACGGTTTACATCATGCAGGTATGGAGCAGTGGCTAAATATGGTACGAGTGTATGTAAGATAATCTTTATTAGTAGGGAATATGATACAGCCTTTCTGTGTCCTGAAGACAGCATTCAGCTATAAATATTTCTTCACTGTTGTAGATAGAAAACTTCAGTAAAGAGACTTACCTTTAATTTGGCTTTTTCAAATTCCTAAACCTACTTGCTTGTTTTACTTGTGTTTTGGTTTAGGTGGTGTAAAACACATTGGTATCCTTAATTATTAGTATGTTTTGTGTTGATTTTTTAGGTGGCCTGGCAGTATGCAGATCTAGTACATTTTGTGTTTAACTGAATTGTTACATAAATGAAAATGTTTTCTCTTATCAGAAGTAAAATGCTTTCTATAAGGACTTCTGCTTCTGATGCCAGGACTCTCTTGAAGACTTACTTTGTTGCTTGGCTTAAAGGAAGATGATGATGTAATGAATTCTGAGCATCCTTCAGGAGGCTGGTGGCCCTTCTATCATTGGTGAATGCTGTCATGGACAACTTCAAAGGGTAAAGATAGTATTTTATGAGTCTGTTTCAGGCTAGTCTCTGATACAGGAAGCAGTGGGATAAGTTTTGGTTTAGATTAACTGCCCAAAGCTTGCTTTTTTCACTCTTAAAATCATTCACAAATTATGGGAACAAATTAGAGGAGACAGTTTACTGGAGTAGCTGTCCAGCTTTCTGTGTGAGCTGTCTTTGAAGGGTGTATTTACTCTCCGGATTATATATAACGTAGATATCCTTGAGCTAGCTTTAAATAAGATAACTTGGGTCTGGGAGCAGTCTTACTGCAAAATATAAGCAGTGAAGTAACTCAAGTTTTGTCAATCTATACTGCTGCAGCCTGACTAGGTACCTGAGTACTTTGTTTAGAAGTAAGTTTTAGTTGAAGTATTTCAAAACTACGCTATGGATAATTTTAGCTGTACCTTCAGATACTCTTCTACAGTTGTTTACTGCAAGGGCCAGATTTAATTTCACACTTGATTTAATTTCGTTAAGTCAGTGCAAGATTTTTGTCTCTTAATAAATCCCTGAAAATAATGCTTAATTTAACCATTAGTCTTTTTGTTGCTTGAGGGCTAGTTTTGCCTAATGTTTCTTCATAGTACTTTCTGGTTTTAAACACAGTAAATGAGAAGCCACACTTATTAGCCTCCAACTGAATAATTGTCTTAAAATATAGTAGTTTATTAATGTTTTAGTAGCAGTACTTTAAGAGGTATTTGAAAGAGTATACTTTGCTTTCAAAGAATGTTTTATCTGCTCACTCTATTCATTATGTTTTATCAGCTCTTTTCCAAAACATCACAAGCAGCTAATGCACCTTATAAAGGACTCCTGACCTTTTGCATCTTCCTGAGTCGTATCTAGATGTCACCAGTGTTTCCCATGTTAACAGTTCTGAGCATGTTTTACTATATGTGCCTTCGGCGCCGAGCTAGGACAGCATCAAGAGGAGAAATGAACAGCCGGAGGGCTATTGAATCAAACACCCGAGCCTTACCTATCAATGTTGAAATAGTTCAGTATGCCAAAGAAGTGTTGGATTTCAGCTCTCACTATGGCAGTGAAAACAGCATGTCATATACCATGTGGAATTTAGCAGGTATTCCAAACGTGTACCCTAGTTCCGGTGACTTCACTCAAACTGCTGTCTTTCGAACTTACGGGACCTGGTGGGACCGTTGCCCGAGTGCTCGGCTGCCGTTCAAGAGGACACCACCCACCTTCTGTAGCCAGGACTACGTGGAACTCGCTTTTGAGGAACCTGTGTATCCCACTGCAGTGCACATTCTGGAAACATATCATCCTGGAGCTGTAGTCAGGATTTTGGCATGCTCTGCAAATCCTTACTCACAAAATCCACCAGCTGAAGTAAGGTAATTTTTTTTCTCTCCTGTATGCTTGCTTCTGAGATGTTAAATGCTACAAGTGATTCTGTTTAGTGACCTTTACTTCCTAGTATTTCTTTGTTTTGTATCTGACCCAATAACATTTTCTGTATTTCTGCATGTTTTCAAAACTGTTGTGGCTTGTTTTTATAGTAAGTTCAGAGATGTAGATTTTAATAGGAATTAATGCAGATCCTAATACCAGATTTGTGTAATGATAATTTTTGTGTTGGAATTTTTATGAGCTATAGTTATTATGTATGTACAAAAAATCACTTTTGAAATGATAGTTCTGAGTTGTTCTCTTTTTCCAATAAGAAAAACAAACTGGTTAGAAGAGGCTGAGGAGTCATGGTTGCTGTATCATCATTCAAGTAGCCATAAACTCTTTCTTCTCTCTACATGCTTTATGTTGTATGTATAGTACAATCAGGTACTATAGCTGTTGATATGGAAATGAAGCCAAAACCAGAACAGAATAGTGGGACAAAAGGTGATGCCATTTGTCTGATCTTTTATTTTTGGTCTGATCAAAGGGTGTGAGCAACACTTCACTTTTACCCTTGCTTCATAGACTAAATGATCCTGTTGGTTTTCCTCCAACTTCTGATGAAATTCGGGGGGGAGGGGCGGGGGAGTAAGATGGGAACCTGGGGAATGGTAAGATAATAAAGAACACTGTTTATGAAGTATGAGGCTCTTAGAGAGGAGGTGAATAAATGGAAGGAGAAAGTGCAGCTTAAATAGCACATAGTGGGGTAAACATTGGGAAAAGCTGTCAGTATATGCAATCAAAGTATTCCATATACATCAAGAAGAGATTAAACCCATAAAGGAAAGGAGAACTGAAAGAAAAAAGACTTAACAACATGTATCCTGTGGAAAATAATTTGCCAACAAATACTATATTCCTTTAAAGTGCATGCTTTGGCGGTGTAAGCAGTGTTAGCTTGGATGCTGTTTTTTTTTCCCTGTCCTGGTCTTTACAGGCACAGCTAAAAAGTATACTTTTACGTCTAACTTGGTATCCCATGATTCCTAATACTAGGCCATTGCTGTTTATTCAAAAAGTCCTAGAAAATCAGATGTCATGTTACATATTCAAAATTGCCAGTGTGATGATTCTTACTATTATTCTAAAATTCCCAGTCGTACGGTCCTGTGTGATTCTGTTTTCTCTTGTTGTTTAGTGCAGTTGTCTGTTTTTCAGACTCTAATGAGTATACACACTGTATAGCTCTAAAGTAAACATCCGAATTCAAGGAACAGTGATAGGTCAAGCTAATAATAATAGGTTGCCTAACTTCAGAAGTAAGAGTGCGTTTGGCACTGTAATGCAGGACTTATTTATAGGGTGGTATTTGGTGAAGGGAGCTTATAAGACTTTTGAACTTAGAACCTAATGTGAAATGACTTTTGGCCAACTGCCCTATGAACTTTCATTTTACTTCTTTATTTGATGATGCAGATTTTACTACTTTATAATGTAGCACAGACTTATGTAGGGATTATTTCTGTAACTGTTGATAATATTGCATTAGAGTAATAGTAAGATAGTGTGCTGCAGGGCAATACAAGGATATAATTCTGAATAATAAAGTAACGTTATTTTATAAAAACGTCTCTTTAGGTTTTGATTCTTGAGCTTTACATAAAAATAAAAAATGTATTAAGTGTTGAAGGAAAGCTCAAGAAATGTTAACTGAAGGAGCTATTTAAGTAAGGTGTACTGAAAAAGAAAATTGTTCAGAGAGCTAAAAGATGGAAGTAAAAATACTGATATAAAGCTTTTTGGGATGTGCTTTATGATTCCTCTCTGGGTATTGTCAGAGTGAGAGCACAGACTTTCCCTTCATAAAAAAGGATGAAGTTTCTGTAGGACCCTGCTTTTTAATTTGTAGGTAGGAGTATCTTTTGTGCTGCCTACCTAGGTTAACAACATTGCTGGTTAAACGAAGGCAGTCTCAGGGAGCCTTAGAACCAGTTGTCTGTGCTTCATCTTTAGTACTTGCCAGTCTTGATGCTAGAGGAGTGTTAGAGCGACTTTTTTTCCTCCTTTTGGCTTACCTTTCTTCAGCAGGTCTTGTCTGTTCAGGGCTGCACGTTTGGTTTGTCTTCTTTCTTCTGAAAGAGACAAACATGTCATTCATGGTGTCTTGAAGAGAAGATGAAGGAACCCTTTCTTCACAAGAGGTGTGCAGTACTTTTTCTCCATCTGGTCACCTTTATGAGGCGAATATTCAGAGTTGCAAGAATGCAGTCTCTTTTTTTGCTTTAGTTCTCGGTTCTCTGTTTTCATTTCCAGAAATTCTCTTGAGATGCCAACTAAGAATTATTTTTTTGAAGGTGGGATGCTGCTGATAATCTAAGGTGATTCTGTGTTTAACTAATATTTTGGACTTGAAGAACTGCCATACTGTTTTCTTCTGTTAAAAAAGGTCATGTCCCAGTTATTTGAAGGACATTTAGAATCTTGTTTTCCTCTTCTGACTATTTTGATGCTCAATTTTAAATCATCTTATTACCTAAAAACCTTAAAGTGCTGCTTTACTTTATCTGCTGACTCTGGATCTGTTTTTTTCTGAATGCCAGTGTATAAAGGGCAGGTCATTAGAAAGGTTCCTTTTCACCAGTTCTTACTTTGATATAAAAAGGCCAAATTAATGGTGGAGTCAAAACTGTTGAGAGGAGGTCTGTTGAGACTTGCTGTAATGTTATTCTTAGTGGATTATACTAGTCCCACTGAGTAATCTTTTTTCCCTTTGTTTAGTATTTAAAATGTCAGTTCATCCAAGATTTCACTGTGTGTAAAAGCTCCTAACCTACAGGAAGCTCTGTAAGGACTTGATGTACCACAGTCCTTGCTCAAGAGGACTTTATTCTTGTAGAAAAACAGCTATAGCTCACATAGTCGGCCAGTGTACTGCTCTGCTGTTTGCTTTATGCTTTGATTGCATCAAAGAACGACTTGGGCAGGTGTTCAGAAAAAGGTCTTTAGTTGTATTCCTCTGTTGTTGGTGCCCTGAACAGTTACAGCTTTGTATGACACTGTCTCAGAGTCTTTTTGGAGGGCAGGATCAGCTCTTCATGGAATGGGAATAAGCATTTATTTTTTTTAGAATTGAATGTAATTTTTCCTTAATTCCAATGCTTAAAATAAGACAGTTTATTTAAAGTTTTTTCATTATGTTTTAGCCAGCTTCCAGCAATTTGAGGATTCTCTGTACTCTCTTATCTTTTGCTGCTTTAAACACAGAAGACATTATATTACTCTCTTCTGCATAAAACAATTTTTAAAAATCATAAATGTCAGAGAAACTGTCTTTACACATGGAGACCTTTTGTGCTTTTCATTAGTGCCACTCACACCTTGACTGGTGAGAAGTGTTTGGTATTTTCTTAAACTATACTGACATATGTTAGTATCCATGTACACGTTTATTACATGAATTATCTGAGTGCAGAAAATCCAAGCAAAAATTAATAATCTGAGATTAAGAAAATATTGAATCATATAGTCTCATTTTTTATATGGTGAATCATATAGTCTCATTTTTTATATGGTGAGGAAATCCCTCCCTTTCTTGTATTGTGTTTTGCTATGATTATTATACTAATGTACTGTGGTGCACATTCTGTGTACTTAAGGTTTGACAATGATGAGTCTTTTTCCAGTGGAAGAGGCAGAGCTGCACACAGGTATGGTGGGGATGACACACCTGATAGTGGTGTGAGCTGAACCCAACCAAGGGAATTTTCTTTGTTTCTCATAGTGGATTAGATTGATGGATAAGCTATAGCTCTAATGATAAAAATGTTTTCTTTCCTGTTTCTTTTTCCTCCTCATTTACCCAGAAGGCTCACTCTTGGTGAATCCCTAATGGCTTTGTTGGTATCAGCCCTTTTGAAGCATTTTGATGCTCCTAATAGTGAGCTGCTGTCAGACAGGGAGAGTTTGTGTGTGTTTAAATAGGAGCTTTCTAGTCAGAAATTATTTTTTCAGAAGTTTTTCAACTTTTTCTTTTTACAAAAATAACTTTGCTTTTTAAATTTGGAATATAAAAGAAAAAATTGCTCCCTGTTCTTCTTCAGTTGTGGTCTTTTTTTAACTTAATTTTGACAGTTTCTCTTATCTCGTGTACATTATAGTGACACCACGTATTCATGTGCTTGTATAAAAGCTCAAAACCAGAGATTCCTAACTAGTCTGGGATGTGTGGCAGTGCTTGGGGTGATGTTTCATAGCATATGTCCTTACTGCTATGTGATGATTGCTTCTTTAGTAGATCGGAGACTGTTTTATGGTGGGTTTTTTTGTTTTCCACAGTGTAACACTGATTAGATGGTTTCCCACAGGTGAGATACCATGATCATTTGACTGACTGGAAGAAGTTTCATTCTGCCTTGTGTGTTCCTGTCATTTATTTAATTTAATATCTTTCATGTTATTTAGAATTTTGCTAGATGCTCTTTTGAGTAAAATTCCGAGTTTGATTTGCAGATGAGCAGCTTGGCTCAGCATTTCCTAGCTTAGTGGTGTTTGCTGCATGTGAGATTCCTTTCTCTTTCTGAAGGCCTTGAAGCCTGTAGAGACAGAAACTGCTTCAACCAGAGGAGCAGGCTAAGGAAGATGGACAAAATAAAAGGCTCCCTCTCTTTCCATTAGGAAGTTCATTGTACTTCAGCAATACAATGCTAATCCAGGTGGGAATGTTGTGGTTTTGTGTGATGGCAGCCGGAATGGGGATCAAAATGTTTGACGAAAAAAATCTCCCCTTCTGATGAAGGGAGTGATACTGGAAAGGCAGCGTACTGAATGTAAAATATTGTGAGTCTCTTGCTTTTAGAGTGGCATTCAGATGGTTCTTTCGTTCTACTTTTTCTTCCCTGTGAATCTCGGATGAAGTCACCCGAAACACTGTTGATACCATCAACACATTAGAGTGTTACAAGGGACCTTCAGGGCTGTATCTCACCTATGTGTAACACACAGCTTAAATTCTAGCCACATGCACCCTGACTTATAACTTGTTTTGACGTCTTCAGGGAAACAGCTTTTTCTTGTCCAGATGACTGCAATAGAAGAATGAATTCTGGGTTCATGGGACACAGTAATTTTTGAGAAACCCCTAGAAAGCTCGCGTGGACAGGGCAGTTACTTGAAAGATGTTTTGCTATTTTTTCTTGGCGTCCTGTCTGCTCTCTTTGGTATCTCAGAAATGAATTCTCAAAGTAGAAGTGGAAATCTGCTGCGTATTCCCACATACTAATTAGACTGCTGTGAACTCTGTTTATCGCCTTGATCTGAATGGTTCTAAGATTGTTCTCATGATCAGTCTTCCCTGCCAGTTGTATTTATGAACAAACAGCTGTGGCTGGGGTGCACTTTCCAGGTTATGTTGAACTTAGCATGCTGAAGCATCCCTGGCATGTTAGCAGGCAGGAGATGTTTTCTTGTAGGTAGCTTAGAGATTATTTACAGAGCACTTGCTTGGATAAGAGCAGATGGGATGTATTATAATCACATATCATGATTATAATTGTTGCAGAAGTTGCAATCTCAGCAAAGATGTAGTCGTATTATTCTCTGACTTTCCTTATGTTCTCCTTGTTTGCCTATCTGAAATTTTGCCGCCTTTTGGCTTTTAACACAGCTGTAAGTTTCTCAGAACAGGGTATTTATTTTTTGTGCTTGAGTTGTATGTAGTGCTTGAGTTGTATGTAGTGCTTTATTCACTTTCTACACCAATCTCAATTTTACAATGCAAGAAAACTCAACAGATTGCAGGTGAAGTTTCATCTTGTCTTGCTGGAGAGAAATCTGATTACTTTTCCTAGAACCCACTTTTCCAAAGAACCTTTCTTATATATTTTCTTCAGAACTAGCCAGGTCTACTCAGGCATCATCTTAGCCATTAAAAACCGTTCCAACAGCTTTAGATCAACAGAAAATTAAACAAGCACTAAATGTGTGCTCTCATATGACACAAACCTTACAAGTATGTTTCTCAGCCTAAAAGTCATTAGACTGTATTTTCCTTCACGGTGAGGAAAGGAGAATGGGAAATTTTTTTTCCACGTAGGTGAATGGAACCTATAGTATCAGAAATCTGAACAGAATGAGTTCCTGACTATCTTCATGAAGTAGAGAGAAATCTAATGGAAAAACTGAGTCCATTAAAGCTGAATGGAAAAACTTCACTCAAAGTCCTCATTTTCTTCAATCACTGGAGAAAATACTACATATTACTGCCTCTCATTCAGGCTTTGCATGGCAGTGTACTGAGGCTTTCTAGCACATTGCTGGTGAAACCTTCTTATTGCACTCTCTTTGCAACACATTTGATCAGCTGTTACTGTATACCTGCAAGACTTGAAGACAAACAGTGTCCTACCATCAGTCATTTGATTCTGCTTTATTTTGTGAGAGCTACCTAATTAACTCAAAGGGTTTAGGTGGTGGGGAGAATTCCCTTGACTTCTTTATAGGTGTCTTTTGGGATTCAATTTCTTTTTGTTTTGGGTTAAACAGTTTATTGAGCATCTTAAGCTTGGAACAAATACAGGCAACCTTATTAAGGAAGCTGATTTTGGTACACACCCTCAAAACAGAACTGACTGTCAAAATGCCTTTTCTTTTGAATGATTTTGAAATGGCTGACCGTAACAAAAAAATGCTCCAGAACAGAAAAAATGTGTTTTTTACTGTAGCCTCTTGGAAATTTAGACTTTTTTGTGATCCATTTCCAGCTGTGGAGTCTTTACTCCCATTCACATTACATGTAGCCCGTTTAAGTGTCAAAGTGGTGATCCTAGAGGAAGAGACCAATTCCAGTTGTAGTAATGTGTGTATTAAGAGTATGCCTACACTCAGCAAGAATTTACCAGTGCTGACTCAGAACAATTGCTATGGCCTGTTCCTGTGTGTGGTGCCACAAACTCAGAGAACATCAAATCAACCTGATAGACTTGAGGTATTCTAGATAAACCAACAGTTAACTCATTTAAAGTTAGATTGGGGGGCTGTTTACAACAGTGTGACAACGGCAGCGGAAAACAGTCAGCAGTCTTGTTCATCAGTGCTTGGTATTTGATGTGGAGTTTCACAAGATTGTAAAGTTAAGCTGTGTGTCTTTCCTTATTGCAAAGAATGGATACTAGAGACACTGCTTGCTGAAGGAGGTTATTGCTCTGCAATTTGATGAACCTAGACCTCCAGTTGCATTATTTTTTTCCAGAGCTCTGCAACTGCTAGGTAATCCTCTCTCCAGGGCACCAAAAGAGAAGTCAACAACTGAGACACATTCTGTTAGAAGTTGATGTACTGAGTTTTTCACTAATTTAGCATGTGCTAAATTAGTGAAAAAATAGCCTTGAGTTCCCTAAGGATAGTTTGGGTGGGTATATGAAAGAGTCTAAGCAAAATGTCAGACGGTGATCTGGATGTGTTCAGGAAAGGTCATGTGCATTGCCAACATTAAGTATTTGCTTAGGGAATCGACCTGTGTGAGAGGGCGTGACAGTGGAACTACATCTGTTACTTTTTGCCATAAGTTGACATTCATTTCCTAAATTAATTAAATCTTAGTAATAAGTCTCTCCTAAGAACTGTTAAACTTAGGGTAGAGTTGTCCACTGTCCTATGTTGGTACTTTCTGGTGTGCCATATATTCACCAGTCCTGCATGTTTGTTTTTAGTTCATGACTTTTTTTTTTCCTTTGACAGAAGACTTCTGCAGGCTTCCTATTCTACTGTAAGGTATTTGTGGAGAGTGGCATGGTGTAGGATAGGAAAATTTACCTGTGCATATCTGAAAATGTCCATTGTGAAATGGAAATTTCAGTTGATATAGATTAATTTTCCTATCCTGGAAATAGTAGAAATAGTAGAAAATACTTCTAAGCTTTATTTATAGTTTGCTATGTTTTAATGAAAGTCCTTGTGTATGCTACTTTCTGTCATGATGACCAAAGTTTGAGCATTTGTTTCTGGAAAATAAAGCATGTTTGATCTTTTTAAATTTTTTTTTTCCCCTGTGTGTTTTGCAGTACGTGTCAGTGTTGAGCAATACTTGTAAGTTCAGAGTAGTGGTATGTGTTAGGGAAAGCAGAGATGCGAGGTACTGAGGAGCAGATACAGCGTTTGTGATGCATGTAACAGGACAAGTAGCCTGAGAGAAATCCTTGAAGCTGGGACTGGGGTGATTGGGAAGAGATGAAGTAAGTATGGAAGTGTCTGGGTTATACCCATGGGACACAGATCGCTGTAAGTGTACTGTCAAAGGGAGTAACAGCAGTGCTGCTGAAGGCTTCCTTCTTGAGGAATTAATTAGCTTGAGGGAGGAAAAGATGCGCTTCAGTTACTGAAGGCCCTCTAAAATCCATTGACTGGATGAGGACCCATGCAGATAAAAAGAACATGTTTCTGTTTTCAGGCCTTTTGGCAAGTTTGGGAGCATTGAAGACCTAAGACTTGATTCTCCAGATTACTCAGTTGGCAGCAAGTTTTGCTGTCATTTACTGGAGGAGATTTGATGTCTGTGTGTGGAAGTAAGGATTAATGTATGGAAGTTCTGTGCATGCCCTGAACCTCCTTCTATCACTGGACCAAAGAGGAGAAAAACTTCTCAGTTTAGCAGTTTGGAAACTGTAATATTTTTTTGCAAAGGACCCTTTCAGAAATGACTTGAAGATTCTATTTTCTTTGGTAATTTGACAGTGAATTACTTTTAAAAAGAATAGTTTGCTTGCCTAGACAAACAAAGTTTAGATTATTCTTTAAATAATTTGCAGTGCTGCAGTTTAAACAGGTTTGATGTTAAAGAATCTGAGCTGTGGGGGTGTTTTTGATGTAATTATTTTTTGTGAAAACCTTTTGTGGGAAATAAGAGAGGTTAGCTGCCTGTATGTTTGGGTTACATGGCAAGACTGTTCCCTGCATACTTACACTAACATGCCATCGCTGTAAAGACATCTGTAATCCATTTGTTACGATTGCCTTACCTGTGAGATGTTAGAACAACTTGTGCATAAATAACAGTACTCTAACACAAGTGTGTGACTATGAGAATACAGCTTGTTTTGTTAGGAATGCAGAGAATATATGTAGAGGTCATGCATTAGTGTGCCATGTTAAATTAATCCTTAGGATATTTACCCAATCTAGGGGAAACATAATTTTCACTGTTTTTTAAACCACTCTTCTCACTTGTTTAATACTTCTGACAGAAGCACTCTTACTGTGTTCAGGAATTGCTTTAGTAATTTTGATTTTAATCTTTATACTGTCTGTGTGTGCAATTTTTCTTTCGCAGATGGGAAATCCTTTGGTCCGAGGCACCTACAAAGGTGAATGGTCCTCAGGCTCGTCAATTCACACCTTGTATCAAACAGATAAACTTTCCCACAAACTTAATCCGACTGGAAGTGAACAGCTCTCTTCTTGATTATTACACTGAATTGGATGCTGTAGTACTACATGGTGTGAAAGAGAGACCTGTACTTTCACTTAAGACTTCGATGATTGACATGAACGATATTGATGAAGATGAGGATGAAGAGAAATACGGCTGTGGAATGGACACCCTTAATAAACAGTTCAGCATTGTTACCCTCAGGGAATGGCCAACTAACGGATATTTTGATAAACTGCCTTATGAGGTACAAAAAGCATGTTTATACTTGGTGTATTTGCTTTGATTGTCAAGGGTGCAAAGGTGCTTTATAGGGTACTGGTCAAGACTATTTTTCTTCCAGTTTAGAGTTCTGCATTCCTTTGTGAATCTTTTGTGGTTACTGTATAGTTATGCCTGAATTATGTGAATCTGACTACTTCCATGGATGGATATTAGCAAACTGATTAGCTGGTATTTACATAGTTATTGCACTTTTATTTCTCAAGAATCTGTCCACTCACACAACAGTTTTTACACCAGTTATTCTAGCCTTGAATTTCTAGCTGTTGAATTTAGAAGTTTCTGGCAGTTTTCCAGCAGTTTTAGTCCTTGTGCTTGATAAAGATGATGTGTAAAAGAGATATGAAAAGATAGAACCAAGATCTGGGAGTGGAAAAAATTTGTAACAGGCTAAAAGTTACTTTTTCTGTTATCGCTCTTACAAAACCCCACAACTTTGTTCTTGAAACTCCCATAAAATTTTCATCTCATTATGAAGTAAGCTGCTTCCATCCAGTTAAGTTCTGATTCATAGTGCGGGTGAAAAGTGTTATAGCTGGACTTCTGCCTTGATTTGATGTTTGCTACTTTTTGTTCTATCATTAGCACAGAAAACAGTTGTGAGGAAACTCCTTTCATATCCCCTGGCAGTGGGGCAGTAGCAAGTGTGCTCAGAGTCTGTGTAGATAAATATTTTCTTTCCTGTAATTTCCAGTATAATGAGGTTGTGAAGTATGATTGCTGAACATTGTGTGCAGGCCAGAAAATTCTCAGTGGGATGTAGTCATTTATGGAGGGTAGTACCCTAGCTAGAGTAAGAAATGAGACATGAAATAATCAGCTTCACCTCTCCTGAAATAAACTGAGTTTGCACATAGTGGAAGAGAGCCTTTACTTGCCTGTCAGACCTCTGGACTTGGACAGAGACATGATTGTTCCTGCTCTTCAGTGTACTGCAGTCTGGCAAAAGAAGCTGGTGTTTTACTGCGGTAACTCATCAAATGCTTAAAGGCTTGATTCAAACTCGCTTTTGAAAGCGAAGGGAGGATGGTGGGAGATGCTGTCACAGATTGCAGGGCATTTTCAGAAATACATGATTTAATCAAATGGTATTTTGGTTTTGTCACATCTTCTGTCTCTACCCCAGTTGGGCATGTGAAGGCCATGGTTGGGTGACCATGTGCCCTAGTAACCTGCAGAAGTTTGCTGTGCTTGGAAAGAAGAAAGAGAGGAAGAGAATGTAACAGCTCTCTCCATCCTCCTGTGTATTTATCTTCTCTTCGGAAGTGGAATAATAAATGAGGATAGTAACTTCATCCCGAGTTAGCTCTAGTGGTGTTTTTTTCCCCAGAGTCCATATAGTGTTTAATATATTTTACTGTCAGTGCTGAGGTAAAGTAAGTACTTTGCATATGCAAAGGTGCAGTTGATTCAAGAACATCTTAAAACGTATCACTGTTTGAAAATTTGAAAATGTGTTGGTTTTAGTCATTCAAAGAAATTAATTATAGAGAAAACTTGATTTAAATTTTGGAAGTGTAGTTTGAAAAGGCTGGATAAATTGATTTGTAGTACAGTAGACTACCAGAGAGATTGATTAATCTCTTTTCTGTTCCATGATTATATGTATTAACGTTATAATTTAGAAAGTATTTGATACTCCTGTGAACTTCTGCCTCCACGTACTTTATTGTGCTTTTCTGCTTTCCTGTTTGCTTCCTTTTTTATCCATTTTTTAACATGTTTGGTTTCATTAATGCATTTATATGGTCTATCAGTACCAAGCACATTTTTTTTCTTCTGTTTTGATTTAAAGAAATTGAAAATATGGGTGGAATATTTATCAGAAAACTACAAAACATTAATTCTGGACTGGTTTTATAATACTAGAAATCCCTGTCTCCTGCTTTCTTAGTCCAGCTGGAAAGTTTGGGTATCAGAACAACAAAAATGTTGTACTTAGTAGTAAGACCTTTTTTTACTGCATCAGATATGGGAACAGTACTGTGCACACTGTTTTCAAGACTGACAAGTGTCAGATTTTTCTGGGAAGTGTTCGAACCTTGTAATGATGAAGTAAGGCAACTGCTGATTCCTTCCAGTTTTGATTGATACATTACATGAAAAACTGTATCTTTTTATATGTTTGTGTTGACTGTGAACGTTTAACTGTCCTTAGTCTTCATACATATGCCTATTCTTTGAGCTATTTCAGGTTTTTTCATACTACCCTCCATAATTCACAAAATACACAGGCTGAATAGTCTTCTGTGCTAATCTTAAGCAGCAGTTCCTCTAGCCTTTGTTTTACCTTCATTTTCTTTCTGAAACTTTCATAGACTATCCTTTCATAGACTGTGTTGTTATTCAGAATGACATTAGGAATGGCTGCAGTGTGAGCTCTAAAAACATTTTAAGAGTCCAGAGTGCTCCTGCCAGCAAAAGAGAAAAATGCTCAACTCCTGGGGCACAGATTTCCTTAGAAGAAAGTGTGATATCTTGGATGAACTAGGTGAGAGAATTTTACTTCCCTGCTCATGGACAGTGTTAACCAGCAGTTAGTAGCTATGAAGTACTTATACTATCATCTGTTCACCAGAACTACCTTTTTTCTAGGAGGATTTTCTAGGAGACGCTTCATATCCTTGTCTGTCTTCCCAGTTACCTTTGACTAACTTGTACTGCTTGTAAAGTGGAAGGGGGAAGGCCTTAGTCCTAGCAGACTTTGCAGGAATGTTTGAGACCTGAAGGCCTGAACAAATTAAAAGCCTGTGAGAAAGGTGAAGAATACCTGCCACAACATACCTGTTGTGCAGTCTGAGACTCACCAAGATGTGCCAGGTACCACGAACCTAACTTTTGTTCTCCATAGAGAAGAGTCAGGAGAAATACTGCATGCTGCTGTCCAAAAGATTTTTTTTTTTAATATAAATTTCGATACAAAAAATACAACATCTTTGTCATTCCTTGAAGCCAATTTTTCCTAAAGCTGCCTACAAGATTTATGAGCTGTTCATGTCTACTGGGGAAGTGAAATTCACCGCTAAATGTGGATTTGGCACCTATGTTCTGGGAAAATGGGTCTTGAATGTAAGATCTGCATCCCTTAAATGATACTTAGAAGAGTCGAAGCAATAAGTATGAGCATTTTTTAAGTGTCATACACTTTTTTCCCTCAACAGTAAACTACTTATATCTTTCCAGAACAAATATTTGTAGGCTTTCAGATCAGCAAGATTTTATGCCTCTCTTTGGAAAGAGAAACTCATGAGGGTCTTAAAAGCTGTCTTAACAGCTAATAACTATATGGCACAAGATTTCCTTCAGATAATAGCCAGTACACTTCCAGTTGCTACAGCAGACTAGACTCTGAACAATGGCACATGGAGAAGATCTCTCCAGCTTTAGCCCCCCTGGAGTTTCAGTTACTTGATTGTGCAGTCTGTCAGTAGGATCCTTTTCTGTTCGTTGACTCAGGAAGGGGCTTAAAGCCTTTACAGCCTTCCATTGCTGAGAGTATCAGAACCTATAGCCTGGTGATGTAAAGCCCGCTCTGCCAAAGCAGAGTGGAATATAGGAAAGAGAGACTTTTTAAATGGTTGTGTTCTGTGAAGCAGTTGCAAGATCCACTTACATGTGGACTATTAAACGTGTATGTATTTGCTGCTGCAAACTATAGGATCATGGAGCTAAGGACTGTGTTCTCTTAAACTATTTTGGGGAAATGTCAGAAGCCCAAGAATACCATCCTCTCCTTCCTGCCTTCTCTCTTTGCCTTTTTGTGCACATATCCTTTGTCCTTTATCTGAACATGTCTTAGTATCAATTCTAATTAGAGTCCAAGCTGTGGCAGTTCTAGCTGCAGAATGAAAAAAAATTGCAAGTCATTTGTTTGCATGTTTCTGAATGAGTGGTTTGTATAGGCCAACGTATTTTCATATTGGACTCATGTTGAAGAACTGAAAGAGGAAATCTGTAAAAAGTGCAGATATTCTAGGTTTGACCAGTGTCCAAGCATTATTTTCTGACCAAAGCAAGTTCTACATTATTATGTTCTAGTCACAGAAAGTATTTTATTTGTTACAAATAGTTATTGCTTGCTGTTAGTCAGCAAAAAAAGCTTAAAAAATGCTAGAGAAGCTTTTGGATAGGTAAGTACTATTAGTAGCTATGCCATTGGTAAAGTTTTACCACGTGTATTTAAGAGTGTGATGGAGATCCTGTCTGAGCTAATAAGTGAACTTTGCAATGGGTGGGATGTCTGTTTTTTTAAGATGCTATATTTTTTAATTGATAATTCACAATATATGTGTATATATAAGATGCTGCAATCAGGGACTATGATGATAAAACACACACGCATCAGTTACGAATCAGGATAATTTTTGTGCTCAAATACCACACAATGAATTTGTATACTGCCATTTGTTGAATTGTGGAGAGTTGTGATTTGGAAACCTCCAGTTTTTGGAAGTTCTCATTGCAGTGGGTGTTGATCTTGCTGCATCTCTACTGCTATTATGTGCCATGTTTGCCCTGGAAGTAGGAGAGAAGGTACTTTTGTACTTTTGGTCCATCGTAACTTAAAAAGACAATTGGTGTTTTATAAATTATATTTTGTTTTCTTCTTTATACTCCTTTGTATTGCTTTTCCAATAATCTAGGGTGTTTTTTACTGATGTTATAAGAAAGTGTAAAACAATAATGGTTGCGTAATTTTTTATAAATGCAGAGTAAAACCAGCTGTTTGTGAGAAACTATGTTATAAAATTAGTTTTCAAAGCAAATAATTCTGCAGCATTCTTGGAATCACCATGAACATGGCATAGCACAATACAGCACATCATGTCACATACTTATTATGGTATCAAATTGTACTTTATGCTAGGATACACATACATAAAAACCAAATTTCTGACAGACACTAGATTCCAGACTAATGGTGATTAATGGATATTAGCCTGTAGGTTTGGAACCTGTTATTTTTGTTCAATCAAAAGCCTGAAAAAAAGCAGTTTGTATCTTAATGTCACAGTAGTGAAATTTCATTGTATTTTTTTCATTCTAGATGAAGTAGTATAATTTCACTAACAAATAAAGAAAGATTATTTTTTCTGATTAAGATGTTCACGTGATAAGAGATTTCATCTCAGGTGTGAAAAGATTGCAACATGCTCTATGTTATGAAGTACTCATTGAAGTCATCAGTTAGTGTGGAGGGACACTGACAAGGCATTTATAGTGTCATTCACCATTATCTTTACTGCTCACAAGTTACAAAATAACTTTTTTTTTTTCCATTGAACAAAATTTGTATTACTTTGTTTTTATCAGACATTATTGCACCACATTGTGGACATAAATTTAGCTAGCTGTGCAGCCTTTATCGCTGAGCTCTCTGCTCTAGAAGACTTACTAAATAAGCATGGGAAAAATCTAAGGAGAGAGACATTCTTAAAATAGGTATTTAGGTGGCTTGCATAGTGTGGAATCGCTGAAAGACTACAAAATAGTTTGAAGCTGTCAGAATATTTAAAATTATTTGAAGTTAATTGATGGTCTTAAAAAAATAGGTATATGTTTAGGTATCTACTATTAGAATGACAAAACTGTGTTAAGCAACTTTTAAGCTGAAGTATGGATTTGAGCCAAACCAAAATCAAGATAACTAAATTGGGATTACATCTATGTTAGCTCCTAGCTATTTTGCTCTTTCTCAGATACCAAAATGTCAACAACCTAAATGTCAGTTGGGAGCAAATTTTGTTGATGATAGTATATTAACTGCAGTTATTATATATGCTTTTTTTTTTTTATATATGTTGCTGTCACATTGCAATGTCTACACAGATTCTCTTTATCAAACTGAGGTGAGAGTTCCAGGCACCTGCAGAGACAAAAAGCCCAAGCTGTTTTTAGGGGAAAGGAGGAGCAAGGAGGAGGGAAGGGTTGAAATCAAGCTTTGAGAGAAACTGGAGTATATGCAAACACTCTATTTTGGCACTGGAGTTGAAGTTGAATTTTCTGAAGAGTCGTAAATCGTGTTTGAAATCCAAATACTAAATCTGGAGCTGAGTAGGAAGTAACATTTTTCATTTTGCAGGAAGTTGGATTGTTTTCTTATTTCTTCTCTTTCAAAAATGAAGGGGGGAGGAGGGGAGGCGGAAGCTAGCTGCATAATAAACTGGTACACTGGAAATGCAATCTGTTTGGATCTCACAAAAAGCTTCATTTTCATTTTATGTCAAGCATTTTATTCTGATTTTTGGCGGGTTTGTCTTACGAATCCTTATAAAACATTAAAATGAAACATGGTATTTTGAAAGGGCCACAGGACTCTTCAGTTTAAGATGATTTGTGTGGTTTTTGTTGTTGTTTGTTTGGGGTTTTTTTAATTTACACTGATTCATTTCAGCAAGTTATTGTGTCCCACTCTGCTTGAAAATACTTAGTCAGTTTTGGTTATATAACTTGAGGACAGGTGCTTATAACTGTTAAAGACAGCCCTGGTAAACATTAATTTTTAGATTTCATTTTTTCAGTGTGTTTTTCTCTCAGTTTCTAAGCCAAAAGATTTTTTTTTTGTGGAGCTTTTTTGTATTTTCTAAAGTGAGTATTTATGTGTCTGTGTGGTGATCTTCCTTTAGGAAGGAAAACACAACATGATAGGAGATGAAGTGTATTTCTTAATTTCTGAGTGACATAAGTCATTACAAAAACACGTATGGTGGTTTCATTCTGAAGCTGAGATGATTCAGTCTGATAAAGGTAGAAGGGGGCTTTGCCTTTCATATTTGATTCTGGCCTAGAACAGAAATTCTCTCAAAGTATTACAGCAACAAAGAGATTACTTTGTAAAAGAAGATCTGAACATGTTGGAATTTTTACCTAGTTGTATAGTCCAGCATGGATGAGAGAGGATATAAGGTAGAAGATGAAATACTGATTTTTTTATTTTTTTTTTAAAAAGCAAGAGGGTAGAGGAATAAATCTGAAATCAGCTCAAGGTGTGAGGAAACTGGAACATGGTATGGTGTTTCCATGTACTGTGCAAAAATGCTACCATTTTAAAAAGCAAATCCGAAGAAAGAGGATGACAATTCAGTGTTCTGATCAACGACAGTGTAGACATTGTGAAGTGATATATGTAAACATAGTGTTTACATATATATCACTGTTTAAATTAGCATGGGTAAAGAAACTTCTAATATGAAAGCTTCCTGTCATTTTCATATGCTGATCTACTTTTTCCATTCTTGTTTAATGTTGTCAAATTGAGAAGGCAGTGCAGTCCTATTTAATAGTTAATCAATGATTTATTTGAGAAGTTACTTATAAGTAAAAAGATTTACTTTTCTTTGAAGTTAGAGGATCTTTCTTATTCCTTTGCAGTTTTTCCTTAACATTTCAAGTGCTATATGACCATTTGTGACTTTTTTTTTTGTTTTTAATATAGCTCATCCAGTTGATTTTGAGTCATCTTACAGTACCAGACTTGTGTAGACTAGCGCAAACTTGTAAGCTACTATATCAACATTGCTGTGATCCTCTACAGTACATTCATCTCAGTTTACAACCTTACTGGGCAAGGATTAATGACACATCTCTGGAATACCTTCAGTCTCGCTGCACTCTCATCCAGTGGCTGAATTTATCTTGGACTGGAAACAGGGGAGCCATCTCTGTTTCTGGATTTAGCAGGTCAGTGCTAAACATACAGATGTATTTTGACAAGCTCTGTTTGCAGAGCTGCTACACAATAGTTTCACTAAGTATTTGAAACTTTATCAAAAGACAAGAAATGTCTTTGATTTACTATAAAGAGTGTGATTGTTGTGATGTAGAAAGAAAAACCAGTTAAACCAGTAATAGATACTGGATACAGCAGTGGATGTCCATTTCAGTATGTGGAGTCTACATTTGCCAAACTGCTTATGACTGAAAGACTTCTTCCAGGGAGACCAGTGTTTTGCTTTCTCCCTGGCTTCTAAAAGACTCCTCAAGCTGTGAAAAGTCTGTCTCATGAAGAAAATGTTTGTGGTTGTTCTTTGTACAGATGAGTCATCAGTAGGACTGTATTAGAAAGGCTGTGGTAATAAACTGATTACAGTGCATGCTTACAAGGTATGGGCCCTAAGTAATCACTGGAGTGCAATGTAAATGCAAATATTTTCATAAAAATGATTTAGAACATTAGCCCCGTTGGGAAACAGGGGGCTTGCATGTGCATCTTCCACTGAGCTGAAAATATGACTGTGCTGTAGGTCATTAAAATAGCAAATTCACAGGGATTCTTCACTGTATAACAGTCATGTTCTCTGCTTTAACGTATCATTTCTTGCTTCTTTGCTCGTTTGCATTAGTTAAACAGCATCTATCAATGCATTTCATTTAAGCAAAGATTGCTGCTTCAACTAAGAGGTAATCAGCAACAACAGGTGAAAGCAGAACTTGATCGATAAGAAACAGAAATGTTTACTATATCTAAAGAAAATTGTTCTAACTCATTGGTTTTTGGAATAGAAAGGTTAAATATTCAAACATTTTCTTTCCTTTGGTGCCTGGGTGCCTTCCCTGGGGAAGTGAAATAATTTGAAGAAATACTTCGTCAAGACAAGAATGTAACTTTTTTCCTGACCTTCCAGTATAATCCAAGCACCCTGTGCTCTTCTGTGCTGTTTGGTAGAAAAAGGAGATAGACATCAGCTAGTTGTTGAATGGGATACAACCATTCCTCCTAAATTTGGATTTCATATTACATACATTATGCGGAGGATAAATATGCCAGCTTTAATTAAGAATTCAACTCTCAAATTGTAAGTGCTTGCTTTCTGATGCTCAGCCATTAAATCTGTCTTTCTAAAACTTAAAGTGTGTGCATCTTCATGGCAATTTTTTTATGTTCTTTTTTTTTTTTTTAACATACAGTGAGGCTAAAAATTTTTGTACTCTTTAATGAAATGAATGTCCAAATCCAGAGAATTACAAATTTACAGCTCTGTCATTTCTGACTTTCGGTTAGTTGAAAACGTGTTTATTGCTAATGACTTTTTTTACTTCTGTGCTGATCTGATAGCAGTGCTTACATGTAGCCAGCATTTCTAAAATTATAAATATTCATTGTTTGACTATTAATAATCTGTGAATAAACATGGTCAATTTATATTCATTATAGCAGATGTTATTTATTTATAACAAGGGGAAAAAAGAGTTCTTGAACATTTGATACAATTGTGAAGTTACCTCTGTTTCTGGAAGAAAATTTCTTGGAAGAAATACATTCAGTCTGGGAATGGGAGATGCAGTTCAATTGTAAATTTTTGTAACAAAATGGTAAGCTAAATAATTTTCAGGTATGACCTAAGCTCAGAATTTTCACCTCTGAATCAAAAATCTCCACTGTAACTGGGTCTGGTTTTGAAAGTTCTCTTTCCTAATATAGAAATAATTTTGCAACTCTTTGTTTTGTAGTAATGTGTTTTCTAGTAAATTTTCCAAACAGAAATTTTCCTTTTGACATTCTTCATCAGCTAGTTTGTCAAATTTGCTATCCTTCATGAAAGGAAAATTTGCTGCTCATTTTCTATGGAAGTATCTATTAATACAGGAGATTTATTAGAACAACACTTGCTTTTCAAAAGCATTAATGTAACATTTTCTTCCAGAAAATGTCTTCCTGGTAAGGAATATTGCTCCTCAAAGGAGAAATCTGTCAAGTAATGTTTTTTGTTCTGTTGCTCTGGCTGTTGTTAAGATACCACCGCCATGTGGATATTGCAGCATCCAGGACATGTAGTCATGAACTCCCATAATTTCTTCCTGTTGAACTTCTAGATGTTCCTCACCTAGGAGGAACTTTTGGGACATATTACCCAAAACAGAGTTTCCAAAGCATTGAGGTATTTCGACTTTCCTAGGAATTCTGTTTCACACTTAAATTTTCTTTCCAGTTTATTTTTCAGAATGAGTGTTGCAGTGGAGGTTCTCACTTGGCTGGGGAGAGTGCATCGCTGCTTTTATCAGTTACCTATGGATGTTTACTGTTACTGAAAACTTAATCACATTTTCAGACTGTAATGGTCCTTTGCACAAATTAAATACTTAAGTATTCCTGTCTGTTTCTGTACCTAACAGAAGACATATGCCACTGCATTTATTAGTGTAAAATCTTCTCTTGCTGCCTACTGCATGAATGTTTCTGAACCAGTTAGTTAATATCTCTTTATCCTGCTCTCACTGGGTCCCTCTCTGGTCTTGGTATTCTCTATTTCTTTCTGCAAAGGAAATCTTAAAATAAGGCAGTGAGGTGTGCCTGTAGAGCACCAAGCTGTGCATGTTTTATTTTGGATTTAATTGGTGAGAAAGTCTTCTTGTAACTTGAGGTTGAGTTCAAATGACCCTCAACTGCTTGTTCCAATACTTTAGATTTATAAATTTTGTGGAAGTTGCTGCATAAGAGACCAGGAGTGGCTGTCAAGCCAACTGCTTGTAGGTGCAGAGAATTCTGCCTATGATTTATAACAATTTGAAGGACTCTGTTATGTTGTTTTTAAAAGGTCAATCTGTATTTGTCAATTCAAGGAGAAAAAAACATTATTAGCTAAATGAAATTTGTAAATAACTTCACAAACACTACAAATTGCTGCAGTATAGAAACGGCAAAATGCTAAAACCAAAATACCTTATCCTCATAGATAACAGAATTTCACTTTTACAGGGCCTGGTTTTTATTTTGTTTTCTTTATTTTTGCACTTCTCTCAGCATTTGGTGTTATAGTTGGCACTGTTGAATTCAAAGCTGGTAGTTTCATTCTTACAACTATGCAGTTTAGATTATGATTTTTGCAAGTCAGGGCATGTTTAAATGCTACTCATGCTTGAATACTTTTTTTTGAAAATATTTCGAAAATGTTTTTATCTGTAGTTTCTACGACAGTCTTAAATGAAGTAACTTGTGTAAATTTGTGTATTGCTTTAAAAGGTTCATATAGACATGATTGCAAGAAATAATTGAAAATATATATTTTCTTGTAAAAATGTATTAAAGTAGGAAATTTTTTAAAAGAGTAATTTTAAGAAATGTGGCTGAAGCAAATACTGTATTATCATGAGAAGATAAAATGCTTCAGGCATATGAACATCCCGAGGCAAAGCTGAAGGTATTTTAACTTATTGATAGCATCTACTCCTTAGGGCTAAAAATGACTATCATAAATTTTTCATTTCAGCATATAATATAAATTAACTAAACTTTATCGTTCAGATTGAACTAGAAGTATACGGAAAAGTGAAAGACAAATGAAATGAGTATCTGTGCAGTCTCAAGTGTCTGGAATGCAAAGTGGCAGGGAATAAACAAAGATTTCTCAGCAAGCATTATATAAGCAGTGCTGCTTTTCTCTTGACATTAGAGGTACGGTGGATTTTTTTTTTGTGCCAGGGGAATATCAGTGTGGGAGGGTAAGACCTATATAGGAACAGTGAGGCAAGTTGGCTGAAGGTATATGAAATATCGAGATGCTGAATAAATGCTCTGAAGTTTAAACAGTTAAAGGACAATGACAGTTTAAAAACAGAGTTCTGCATGTAGATTTCTTTGTATCACAGATAACGTCACTAGCTTGGTTAAATTCTTCTGCTCGGAATATCTGAGTTATTAGGAATTTTTATTTCTAACATTTTATACGTTGAAAATGAATTAAGTGTTTTATTTTCAGGTTAGTGGTGCAGTGTTTGCATGTCAAGCACATCCAGGAATATTTCTTTAAACAATTTTGTTAATGTTTGAGGGCTTTAGTTACTGTTAAGAGGTGTATTTTGACAACATCTAACTTGGTGACACTTTGCTACAAACCAGACTAGCAGGAAGGTCAGAGAAATTACTGAAACACACATCAAATAGTCACAGAAAATAGGAGTAATATGTGACTTTATGGGGATTTTCAATTTAAAAATCATGTGTCTCACTTCATTTTCTACAGGTTTTTTTAGGAAAACCTAGGGTTACTGTAACTGAGATTAAGTAATGAAATTTGTTGTGCATGTTTTTATTGAAATAGTTAATCTATGTTGAGAAAAGCCCAAGATCAGGTATTTAATTTTCTCCCTATTTACATGCAGTGTTTTAAGGTTTGCTGATGCAAACAAAAAAGCATAATACATGCTAGAATAGAAATTAACATTGTAACTATTATAACAGTTTAGAGGAAGGGAGATGACTTCATTTTAAAAGAAGAATGATTTTGCTCAGTCTCTCAAGCATGCACTTGGATACACCAAGACAACTGAGACGTGTGTCCAAAGTGATTAGTCTAGCGTGTGGTCTCACCATCCTGTGCCGCCTGTTCTTCATCTCCTAATCCGCGTGTCGTGAGAAACTGCACATACGTATGTTCAAGGATCTCAGTGACCTGCTAATCTGACTTATACCAACACACTCTGCTCTACCAGCCCTTGCATTGCCATTTGTTCTTTCTCGTGCTTCTAGACCTGTGTGTACCCATTTGTTCTCTAGTCATACCAATCTTAACACTTCTATTACAGTTATCTCTACTAGATGCTGCTGCTGTCGTGTAACACAGCAGTCCTTAAAGGAAAAGCATCACCGTGAATATAAAAATATCTGAACATCACCTCAAGAATTACATTAAAATGTAATTCCTCAAACCACTGGATTAAATACAAGACTGTAACTGCAAAGCAGGTTGAGATTATGAAATCCTTTGCTGAGTTTGTGTGAGTAGTCATATAAATAGAATGACAGTAAGAAAGAGAACACCTCAAGATCTTAGAAGTGAGATGAGGAAGAATGAAATCCAAATGGTTTTTACATTATTCTTGTCCGGTGGAAGGCTCTGGAAAGCAGGACACCTGAGTAGCTTGAAATACTGGTTCTAGGAGGATCTACCAAGGAAAGCTAGGCAAATGAGGCAGTACTATTTCTGTCAAGTAATGGATTTGGATGCTAGCATAAGGTAATACTACAAGAGAAAGTACTAAAGAAAAAAAAAATCTATCCAGCCCTATGTTGTTCATAAAGGGAAATTGCTTCCCCACTCCCCACTCTTGGACACCAGATTCAGTGATAGTCATATGTCAATGACTACAAAATGAGTAACTGATTTTCATTCAAAATCTTTTTGGTAAAATCGGCATGATTGAAACCTGTTGGGATAATTGTACTAAAGGTAAATAGCTATTTGTTTAGGAAGGATGAGTAGATGGGAGACAACTGGACTGTGATCCTCGTTTGTTGTAGAGTTTTCAGTAACTTTCAACCATGGGATATTGAGTAAGTGAGGATCATTATGCTAAGAGTGAAGTGTAGGCTTTGGATCCATTGCAGTTCCATTAGAAACCACTGGATCAGATGTGATGTGTTCAGTACCTGCATAAGTGTATATCTAAAGGTATTTTGAGAATTTTGTTTGGGAGATTTTATGCAGCCAGTTCTGGTATGAAGATTTCTGTTTCTTGTACCTTGATATTTTAATTTTGGATTATCTTTGGCTCATGGGATATTCTTACAACACAGACATGAATTACAAGATTGGAAGTTGTTCTAAGTGACCTCATGATCATGATGGATTTAACATCAGCATGAGCAAATAGGGTCCTAACTGCTAATAAAAATATTTGGTGTTTCAGAAGGATTTCACTAGAACCAACTTACTTCCCTGAAACTGAAGTGGGGTGAAATGAGCAGCAGTTCTTGAGAGCAGGCAGAAAGTGGTGGAAAATGAGATTGCTCTTTTCATTAAAAAAACCACTACACCCCCTGCCCCCCAAACCAACCAAAAAAAAAAAAAAAAATCCTACCCAAAAAAACCCCAAAACAAACCCCCAAAAAACAACCACCAAAAAAAAATATGCCTGAAATGCTGTGGTCTAGAATGAGAAGTATAGAAAGAAAGGCCCAATCCGTTGTCTAGCAAAATAAATGTACATGTTCACATTATTCTAGCTTTAGTCATATTTCATAACAAACATGAAGGGATGAAGGGAAATCACTTCAGAAATTGTGCGTATAAAATTGATAGTAAAAGCTAAACTAAAGGGATCGATGACTGTGCAGAAAGGCGGAGAGACTAAAAACAGGAACTAGTCAGTCCTCACTGATTAAAGGAGAGGTATGTGAAGAAATGTTGATTGAAGTAAAAGGTGCTTTTTTGGGGTTTACTTGTTTTCAAATGAGTTAAGTCATAGCCAGTCATCCAGTGCCTGTTAAGTTTCAGAACTGTGAAGGCCATGCCACATTTGTTCTGAAACCATGAGAACCCACGTTCTACCTTGCCATGTGGCTTTGGAGATCCATGTAAAAAGACGTTAGCAAAAACCTCTGTCCTGAGCAGCCTGTTAATTGCAAACAAAGATTGGGGTGACTTGGTTGTTCAGAGAACTCTAAAGTTCTGCCTAATGTTCTCTGCCCTGTGCTATTTGGTGACTTCCTCAAATTCCTTCACTTTCTGTGCATCGCTTCAGGCCTGTCAGCTCGTTCTTGTACTCTGCTGCATGTCCCTCATTTCCCTTACCTTTCTGTTTAATGTCTCCTAAATAAGCTTTTTCCAAAAAGGCAGCAAAGCCATTAAGTGCAATTCTCACTGCTGTGCTTACTCTGCTTGTGTGTTTCAAGTGTAATGAATTTAAATAAAACGTTATGAGGATAACAGCTCCTTGAGCTGGTAAGCCTGGAGTTCGCCAGGTCTAGGGGGTTAACTGAGTGTTTCCCTGACCTGGTAATGTTAACTTTTAATAGTCTTAGAATGAGTAAAGTGTTGATCTGTACCAACATTTTTAATAGCCAGTCCCTGTTAAATTATATTGGCAGTTAGCCTAACATCCATTATTGTAATGGAGTAATTCATAAAATATTTATCTGTTAGCAAATTAAAAGCTGGAAGTATAATAAGTGGCGATTGACAACATTTTATGGAAAATATCACCATTCAAACAAACGTTATAATTTGTTGTTGAAAGAAGCTGTGTGAATGTATTGTTAAAGCACTCATTAAATAGAGGAATTGGTTAATTGGTAATCAGCAATGAATCCATATGTATCTACTCGGATTTCCAGGGGACTTCCATCCTGTGTTTCTCCATGGCAGTGTTGAACTCTGTTGCTAGTCTACAATAGTAGTTTAATGTTTTAATACCTGATGTTAATTGTTGCAAATGGTCATGTTACTTTAGCTCTGACGCTCCCATAAGAAGGTTTACTAGTCTAGGTGAATTCTCTGTATCTAGTATGAAAATAGCAAAGAAGTGCTCGGTGTTTGATTGAACTCTGATTTTACAGGCTAAAATAGATTCTAAAGAGAGACTGTCGTTAGACAAAAAGAGTGGAAGAGTAGATTTGAAGGCCATACTTGGCAGAACCCCTGTGGCTCTGGGGCTTATGTCTCCCCTTTTGTGTCTCAGACCCTCTCTTTGTTTCTGTTTGCATAGGCTCGTAGAAATGTTGGATGTTAGGGACTTCTGAAGGTGGTCTACTCCAGGCTTCCACTTGAAGTGCCAGTGTCCCCAACGCTAGATCAGGTCAGTCAAGGTTTTGGGTGACTCTTGGAAACCTTCAGGGATGGAGATGCCACCCTGGAATCTCCTTTCTGCTCCATATTGCATAGGATCCACATAATCAAACTAAGGCCACATAATATGCAAGATGAAAGGAATACAGAAAGGTGATGATGAATGACAAGTATGACTTGAGCGTGTAATGAAAAAATAAGGAAAGGAGAAAGTTTGAAAGCTTGGATCTTGAAAGACAGACTCAGGTCCTGTGCTACTGCTAGTGTCTGAGGAATGCATCCCTGAATGTGTCTGCTTTTAAGACCAGCAGCCATTTCACCCTAAATTTCAGCAGGAGCAAAGTCTTGGGAAGGCTAATACATGTTTAGTTGTAGCAGTAGGAGTTTTTGTGCAAGCAGAAGCCTCATGTGTCTCTGGCATTTCTATTGTTACAGTTAAACCCAAGAAATAATACTAACTTTGTAGTGAAAGTGTGAGAACCTAAAGCTGCTTTGTCTATGTGAAGGCTTTTGTAGGATAGAACTAGCAATAGAGAATATCACAATATTTATTATGGGAAACTAATTCATGGTCTTTCACAATTATTTCATTTTTCTAGGAAATAACAAGGGGAACTCATTGCAGCCCATAGGTTAGGAACTTAGTTTTATTACTGGAAAAACTATTGAAGTACAACAATCATGGCAAACATTGGGTTTTTCTTCCCTGTTAAATATCAAACGTTACAAGCCTAGAGATTGATTTACAGTTTGAAGGTTATCATTGCAATAAAATTGGACATAAGCTTATGTGTTTTTAATTAAAGCTTGGATTAGATATATTAGAGCTTGAATTTCTGATACAGTATCTCTGATAGAAGGTATAATTCATGCAGAGACCATCAAAGTTTCTAAATTTGGATATTTTGTCTTCTAATGTATTAAATTTTTATAATTCCAATCAAAGTAACGTGAAATACTTAGGAATCTGTGTTCTAGAACAGCTATGAAGTGTTGATTTTGACTTGTTTGTTAATGAAAGAGATGAGATGTTTTTCTTAGAAGTCTTAAAATACTTCTCCTGAATATTTCATCCATTTAAAAGTATGTGTTTAAGCTCATTTTTACATTTGCAGATTTTTCTAAGATAAATATGAAATAATTGGTGGAAACTTGCAGACCATTGTCAAAATTGGCTTTGAGAATTGTTTAAAAGCATTTCAAACATTATCTGTGTTGTACTCTGCTCCACTGTCTCAGAGTAAACAGCAAGAATGATGCATGTTCCAACTTTCTAAACTGAAACAGAGTTTTCAAGGCTAATGTTAATTTAATAAAAAAACTCTCTCTACTGTTCTCACCTCCAGTTATTCTTTTGCAATATGTTTTCAAGGTAAAGATGTTTTTTAAAACTCCTTTAGTGATACTAGATTTCTTATGCCATGTACAGCATTATATAGCCTTCTTAAAATGTAGTCAAATATTCCTTTGTACAGAACACTGTATAATATCTAGGTTATGCACAGTATCAAGTTAACATTGATGAAACAGTCTTGATTCTCTGGTTACCTTTGTTTTTGTAATATTCCTTTCTAACGTAACACCTAATTGGCTTGGTCTCTTCTGGATTGGTACAGATTTGATCCAGGAGTAACTTCTTCAGAGTGCTTATAATTAATTTTCTTTAACCTAACCATGTTTTCTGTTAGTTAACTGAGGTGATATAGGAGCTGAGGTCTGTAGCCTTTTCGTTGTTGGAAGAAACTATTTTCTGGTTTACATGGTTAAGGTTTTGACAGTATTCAGACTTTCACCTGAAAGTATGTTTATTTTTCACTTAAAATGTGGGTTTTTTACAGGTTCTTGAAAGTTTGTGGCTCTGAACTAGTACGTCTTGAGTTGTCTTGTGGCCATTTCCTCAATGAAACATGCTTGGAGGTCATTACTGAAATGTGTCCACATCTTCAGGAGTTAAATCTCTCATCATGTGATAAAATACCACCTCAGGCTTTCAACCACATAGCCAAAGTGGGCAGCCTAAAACGTCTCATTCTCTACCGAACGAAAGTGGAGGTAGGAACAAGTGTTTTTAATCTTTACAATAAATACTTTCAGTCCTGCTAACTGCATTTTTGCTGCATTAATGAAATGAATTAGAATTTTGCATGTAAATTCAAAGGTGAATTCAAGAAATTCAAAGCTATTTTCAGAAACCGTAGATTTTGTTTTAATTAATTTCAAAATAGCTTCTAGATTTAACAAAAATAAAAGGCCTGCATGTTTTAACTTGCATGGAAGATTGGTGACATTGCCAGCTGTTTTAGGCAATATAGTGAAATCACAATTGTGAAAGCTTTTCTCTTGTTTTGAAGTGTACTCCAGACAGACTGTATTTATCAATATGATTTGGAAATTACCATGTTTAGTAACTTACTGTAATTCTCAGCATTCTCTCCTTTTGAATGACTTACTAATTACTAGATTCCTACTGTCTTTGTATGTTAGCAGTATTTGAGATATGGAACGCAAATTTTTGAAAATAATTTTCACTTACAATGTAAAAATTACTTCTTTATACAATTACTCAGCTTCCCAAATCAGGGTTATTATTGTTTGCTGCAACATATTTCAAATTTTAAATGGAATGGGTTTACATGCTACAGTTAAGAAGACTGTTGTAGCTTACTACATTTTACAAATATTGTATCCTAGTAAATTCAGCAGTTTGAATCAGAAGCAATTTCATTCTTTCTCACTAGCTACATTACTCGGGTAACTTCTAAAGTTTGAGACTTCATGCTTGTAATAGTGTAGCAGCTGAGGTACACTCTGAAAATTATTGGTAACTGTCATTTCTCAGCTATCACTTTGCTGAACAGAGCTTGAAATTAGATTGAATGTAAGTGGTAAAGATTTTCTGACTTTGAAGCCCTTAAATTGGGAAGATTCATTTGTGCCTTTCATGTGTATGGACATGCATCTGCTTGTAGCTGACAAGAACATTCATTCATAATCAAGCTTACTTAAGATTGTGCTTCCACTTTATATGTAAGTATAAAGAAAAGGCACTGTTCCTAACAAACCGTGGAAGAGAAATTTCTAGAAATTTAAATAGGTAGAATGGAGACGATGCCTTTGTGTTACTTGTTAATATGAAGTCACTTAATATACGTTGTGCGTCATGGCTGGAAAAGTAAAATGGGAAGAGTGAAGATGTAGCACAGTATTTGAATTAGATTATTAGTTACAAAAGTCACAGATTTGTAGAAATAACATTACCTTTCTCAACATTAGCTTCTCTTAATGCAAATCTTTGGTTTTCTATACAAAATAGGCTGCCATTCCTTCTGCACTCCTCAGCTGGTATGGAGATGCTAGGTGGTAACTGGTGTCTAGATGCAAAAAAGACAGGCTAGACTGATCAAGCATGCTCTGAAGTGATTCAGACTTCTATAAAACTTGTCAAAGAACTGTAATAGTGTTCTTGATCTTTATGAAATTTCTGCTACTACTGTGTTTTCATTGTTGGAGCTTCTGAGGAGCAAACAATGGAACGATGCTCATGTTTAATCAAGAGTTTGGTGTATTGTTGATAACTGGACCTGCTTGGAGAATGGAGTCTGAGGCTCTGAATCCACTAAGGAAAACTGCTAACTGATAACAAGTGTCTGACTATTAAGAGAAAATAAGAAAGAAGGTGAGAAGAATAGAACTGGTATGTGTGTTATGGTCCTCTGTAAAAGTTCTGTCTCAAAATAAAAAGAAAAAAAAGAAAAGAAAAATCTGTTCATTCCATTTAGTCCACCATTTTCCTAAATAAATCACTGGTTTGCTTTTTTTCTTAAAAAAAGCCCAGAGAACAAACAAAATAAAGCGCAGAGTCCCTTGATCTAAATTCTCACATCCTATTCTAAAATGACAAAAGTACAGGTCCTGTCATAATTATCAGTGTGTTGTCATTTCTTGTGTTGGAAGGATGGCATCCCTGTTCATCTGTTGTTAACCACCTTGATGTAAAATATTACAGTGGAGATTTTGATGTAATTGCCAAAATGTGAAGAGGGAATAAATATGCAGAGAACAAGTAGGTAAAAGTTCACCAAAATGAGTTCCTCAATGGGGTATCATAATTATCTTTGTATGTATCTTACAGCACAATTCGAGGCAGTCACTGGAATTGAAGCATAGTAAAATTAGGTCAGATGAGGAGGGAGGCTGCCTTTTATGCTTATAAACAGTCTGATGAATTCATTGTTACAGCTGATCAAGGTAAACGCTTAAGTTGAATAATTCAAGTGAAGTGATGATTTTTTTTTTTAAAGGGGCAACACTAAAGAGAACAAGAAAAGCAAAATAGGACTTAATGCTCTAATTGACTTTTAAAGGAGGGTTCCTCTCTGCATACTATTTGTGATACTGGTGAAAAAGGGATCATTTTCCTACTCTGCAGTTTGCATTTTCAACAGAAATCGACGTATTATGTTAGAGCACATCTGGGTAAACAGCACAACTTGTTCTTTTGGTTGTGAATTTGGGGGTGTGATTAAATAATAGAATATGGGATGAATATTCTCCATCCTTTTCATCAGTATGTGATAAAGCTGTTTCTGGTTTTGCATGATGCTTTATAAAAAGTACAATATTAACATTTTAATAAAAGAAATGGTATTTTGATTGTATTAAAACAAACTCCCATGTACCTGTCCAGGTGTAGTATTTCCTTACTCAGACTGTGTCTTGCAGTGCTCATACCTTTTTGGTTTGTTTTGGTTTTCAATGCTAAAAAAAGAGAAGAGTTGATTTTAACATTTAAATTTAAAGTATCTGTTGTACTTTTTCTGTTTATGTGATTACTGTGACACTAATGGATGAATTCTGAGAAAATGCTCTGCAGAAAATTGACTACTTTTAGTGATTTTTTTGTGTGTTAGGTACAGGGAAACAGATTTTGCAGAAAACAAACAATAAAATTGACAACATATTATGTAATCATCTGAGCAATTGCTATGACAGTCTCTTGTTATTTTAGTTGTTTTCTTTGGATAGGTTTTGTATTTTAAAATATTCCTATTGTGTCTGTAATTAAAACTCCCAGTTTTTAAGTGTATGTTTTTAGTGAAATGGGCAGTTCTGATATTCTGCTACTTACTGCACTGCATTGCTGTTTTGGAAGATAGCTGTACTATCTGGAGGAGTTTATGGTCTTTGGTCCTAACGCTGCTGATTCTTAAGAGCATATATAATGTTATTTCCTTGACTTTATTGAGATCAAGTTTCTGTATACAAAATTGGTTTCAAAACTCTGAATTGAAGCTTCCAACATCCTTCAGTTATTCCAACCTCTCTGTTACAAGAGGGAAAGTCCAGTGGCTTTCAGTAACTTGTTTCAGGCCAAACAAGCAAAAAAAAAAAAAAAAAAAAAAAAAAACTCCTCCCCACTAAATGCAGCTCTCTTTTCCAGTGCTTTAAGTTCACTATTAAAGGTTTCGTTATTAAAAGTTGCTTGATTATGTATGTGCTTGAAATAATTTGTAACTTGTGTTGAGAAACTAACCTCAGCATTTTGCACTTCTGTTTGCTCAAGACCACTATTGTACTTGTGGGATTTTTGTGCTGGTGGTTTTGGTGTTTACTGATACATGACTCCTTAATATTTATTCACTGAGAGTGTGTTCACAGCATAATTTAAGTACTTGTTGGCACTGATACATTTGAAGAATACAATGAACAATAGAGGTATTATTGTATACAGTAATTGGCAATGCACATCTTTATGGTTTCAGGACGAATATTATCTTGATTTAGTGCATATCATGAAATATTCCATCCATATAAATAATGCTACCAAAATTGTATTTTCAAGAAACCAAAGCCACAATTACAGTAGGAGAACTTGGCAGTCTCTTTATTGCTGGGTCTAAATTTTAATGTAAGATTATATATTTCATGTTGCATGATATTCTGGATTCTTTGTAATGTGTGAAGAAGTTTTTAAGCTATAACTGAAATACAAAATGAACTAAATTTAAATGAAATTACAATGGACAAAGTACTTTCTTTTTGCACACATTTTAAAGCAAGTCTTGTATTTCTGTATTTTCTCACTGATATGTTTGACCAAGAGCAAATTCAGAACTTGGGCAGCTGTAAGAGAGGACACTAGCAACTTTAGAGGCAGAAGAATCTTAGCAGTAAATGTAACATATTTTCTTATGTCATGAGCAATGAAAGAGTTAATGTTGCCGTAAAATTGTTCTACAGAGCTTTTAGAAATAAGTTGTTATGGGTCATGTTATACTTCTGAGAGCTATTGTCTGAGGTTTTTCAGCTTGGACGAAATTTCATTGGCTTGGGTACAAATCTTTAGGATTAAGAGTTGTGAGCAAATAGTGGAAAAAAAGTGAAATCCTCTAGCTAGAAAATGGATTCTTGGAAGGAGATTGAGCTGGAGACAAATAATCACGCAATACAGGGCCTTGATGGTGCCTTCTGATCCTGTGTCAGGCTCATAGGGCTGAATGTGGTCATTTGAGCCTGTAATGTGAAGAGTGGGGGTGAAGAATGAAGGTGTAAAACAGATTTACAGACATAAGGGAGGGCATAATTTGACCAAATGAAGCAAACCCAAAGTACAGTAATTGAATTAACTACAGAGACTATTACTTTCATTGAATTAATTCAGTAATTGCTGTGTTGCTGTGTCCCAGTCCCTGCTGTGTCCCTGGCACTGCCAAGTAGTTGTAGAGAACAAAAAGGTGCCCGTGTACATCCTGAATCCCAGCTTGCAAATTACATTGTGCCTGCTTGTAAGGAGGCAGGTGTTCTGACTTTTGAAAGGCTACATCTGCACTCAGTACTAAGGTTCATTCCACCTTTGTTTCCCTGTACTCTAGTTCTTCTCTTACCTGATGCTCCTATACTATTCTTATTGCATCTGTTTTTAAACATGTGTCTTAAAAGTTTTGGAGGCAAAAGCTTTAGCACTGTCCCGTTCTTCATCTCAAAAATGGTCCAATAATCCCAAGTACGTGGTGGGAGTGTGGTGGGGAGGGAAGGAGGGGGAAGCTGATGTT